GCTGAGATGTTCAGAATTATGGGTGATAAACCTAGAGTGGGTTTTCACCAAAAGAATATCTAATCCGCAACGTAGCTGGACCAATCTCCTTTTTGAGAAATGCTTCCACAAGAGAAAACTGCTGAGTTTTCAACATATGCCACCTGTTTAGCTTGTGCTACAGACCAGAACGGAGGGGATACAGTGAAAATAATTCGAGAAACAAGTCACTAATGAAATATTCTGTCACAATGCTTGTAAAAGTATGTACCGGGCAGAATTTTGTTCCACGGATCCTGCTTTGAAGCTGGTTGCGTGTACTGGTAATAATGGGTTAAGAAAGTGTACACAGCTACCTGGTTAGCTGGTTCACAGACGAGAACGAAAGGGGATACAGTGAAAATAATTCGAGAAACAAGTTACTTACGGAATATTGGGTCACAATACTTGTGAAAGTATGTACCGGGCAGAATTGTGTTCTACGGATCCTGCTTTGAAGCTGGTTTCGTGTACTGGTAATAATAGGTTAAGAAAGTGTACACAGCTACCTGGTTAGCTTGTGCCACGAACGAGAACGGAGGTGCCACTGTGAAAATAATTCAAGAAACAAGTCGATTACGGATTATTGGGTCACATTACTTGTGAAAGTTATACCCCGCAGAATTATGTTCTGCAGATCCTGCTTTAAAGCTGGTTCTGTGTACTGGTAATCATGGGTTAAGAAAGTGTACACGCTTCCTGGTTAGCGTGCGCCACAGAGGAGAACGCAGGGCATTGTTTGAAAACATTTGAGGGTTTGAGCCTAGATTTGTCTACTGATATGAAATTTCTTGATAAAGTGCGTCCTAGTTTCAATACTCAATGCCGTTTTGAAATGCCAATACTTCGTTGGTGAGATTGTGTATTTGCATCATTTTGTTTACAGTAAGAAATTTTGCAATGCGTTCCCTAAATATGTTGTTGTTTGTCNTTGAGCCTAGATTTGTCTACTGATATGAAATTTCTTGACAAAGTGCGTTATAGTTTCAATATTCAATGCCGTTTTGAAATGCCAATACTTCGTTGGTGAGATTGTGTATTTGAATCATTTTGTTTACAGTTAGAAATTTTGTAATGCGTTCCCTAAA